ACAAACACCCGTCCACACACACACCTGCCATGAGTTTGAAGCCGCCAGGTCCAGGACTCAAACCACAGTCGACTACATGGGAATCCAGCAATGCAACCTTTACGCCATTTGCTGGTCGCGAAAGACCATTTTGTACCATTTTTGCAAATGTACTCTAGTATTGGATAAATATTCCACAAAATTAAGCCAATTATATGGTTTTAATATTATCTACTTTCGGTTAAAAACTTCTCAAAATAGGTTGGTTGACCTCTTGGCCTGGTGGTAAAAAAAGCTGGATCCCACACAGCTTGAATCTTGGCCCCTGGGGCTTGAAAAATCACACCAGGCACTTTGTGCATGCACATTCAAAATCCCAACAGGATGGAGAAATGAAGAGAAGTTGTGTGAACACACCCAATGGGAGGGTTGCTATCTTTCCCTCCTTCCCTCTCTCTTTCAGGCAATCCATACATGCCCTCTGGCAAGTTAAAAAAAAAAAAATCCTCAGAAGAAAATCCCAATTCTATAGAAAATCATCCTTCAAAATATCTTTCTTAAAAATCAGTCCTACAAAGAACCCATGGGAAGGCTTTTTCTAAGAAGTAACACATGGGACCAACCTATAGCCTGGTTAAAAAAAATAACTACTTTACTTAACTTTATTTATTTTAATTTGACCAGATAGGGATACAGTGAGAGAGAGAGAGAGAGAGAGAGAGAGAGAAAGTGAGAAAGCAAGCTACCAGGTCCAGGACTTGAACCACAGGCGGCCATGTGGGAGTCCAGCACCCTCAACTATCACGCCACCTGCCAGCCCCTCCACCAAAAGCACTTAATAGTAAATGTGAGGGGCCAGAAGGTGGTATGGTAGTTGAGGAGCTGGATTCCCACATGACCAACTACAGTTTGAGTTCCAGGCCTGGTGGCTTGCTTTCTCATTCTCTCTCTCTCTGTCTCTCTGGTGAGCACACATGCCCTATAACAAATTTAAAATAATAAGAAATAATTTTTAAAAAAAATAGTGAATATGGTGGGATCAGCAGTTAGCGTAATGGCTCTGTAGCTGGATTCCCACGTAGTCAACCGCGATTCAAGTCCTGGACCCGGTGGCTTGAACTCACAGTGGGCGCATGTGTGTGAGTGCCCAAGATCCCAAGAGAATAAAGGAGAAGGGATTATGGCGTGGCCATCCCGCCTGAGGGGTGATTTCTCGCTTTCTGTCTCTCTGTCTGTCTTTCTGGCGAGCGCACGCGCCCTATAGCAAAAACTTCTTCAAAAAAATAATACATATATATATATACATATTTAGTGAATGTGAGGAAACAGGAAACAAGGGAATTGGTTTTACCTGAATATCAGACAGTTCAGATGATAAGTGGATAATTACACAATTTATCATACAGACTAAAACCTCTTCAAGAATTTTGAAAGGACTACTAATAATCATAGCAGAACAATGAGGAATTTAGAAGTCTCAAGATCAGCAGGATATATATAGTTGCCTTGGTTATAAAGGACCCAGCAGGCAGCAGCAAGGCAGGCAGGGGACCCAGAGTTAACTTACCAACATTATTAGGCACTTGTACCTCATCTTATCAACCAGCAGGAGTCCAGGCAGAGGCAGAGGAAAGTTTGGGACTCAGCCTTTCTGCCAACATCATTTTAGCTACCTGGATCTGCTATAGACCTGTCAATTTTGTAAGATGTTATTTTTCATTGTTCCTACATATCCAAGCCCTCTGGAATGTAACTTTCATTTTTAAATTGGCCCTGATAGGAAAATAGTACGAGAGCACATGGACTCGACCTCCAGTATCAGCTGTTTCCTGAGAGGCACTGACGGAATCTCCAATATTCAACACTGCAAGGAACACGATGTGAATAAGGGAGCAAGGAAACTATGAACACGAAGGCATGGGGAGAACAGATGGCTAAAGTGACGAACTACTACTGTCAAGTCTTTCCCTCAATTCCAGACTTAAGAAAACAGATGTTAGGGCCAGCAGATGGTGTAGCGGTTACGTTGCTGGACTCCCACATGGCTGACCATGTTCAAGTCCCAGACCCAGTGGCTTAAAACTCACGCCAGCCACGTGTGTGTGCATACCCAAGATCCCGGGAGGAGAAAAACAGAGAAGGGACTGCGGCATGGTCATCCCCCGGGGGGATGATTTCTCACTTTCTCTCTCACTTTTTCTGTCTCTCTCTCTCCTTCCAGTGAATTCACACCCTATGGCAAAAACCTCTTTAAAAGAGAGAGAAAGAAAACAGATGTTAAGAGCAAACTGAGCCCAGTAGGGACCTACAATGTGCCCTCTTTGTTCACTTGGATCAGTTAATGACTCTGAAAATGAAATGCCTTTTTTTTTTTTCACAGAAGCAAAGCAAAGTTGCTGAAGACAGAACAAATGCTACTTGCAAGAACACTATGCTTCAAGTTCATTAAGAATTAAACAGGTGGGGACCAGCAGTTGGTGTAATGGCTATGTCGCTGGAATCCCATGTAGCTGACCACGATTTGAGTCCGAACCTGGTAGTTTAATCTCACACCGGGTATGTGTGCATGTGTGCCCATATTTATATTTGGGACACAAATGAATAATGTACTCCGGAATAAAAAAAATTTTTTGAGAGGTTTTTTTCGCTATAGGGCACATGCGCTCGCCAGACAGAGACAGAAAGACAGAAAGCGTGAAATCACCCCCCAGGGGGGATGGTCACGCCGCAATCCCTTCTTCTCCATTCTCCTCTTGGGATCTTGGGCACGCACGCACACGCGCCCGGCGTGAGTTCTAAGCCACCGGGTCCGGGACGCGAACCACGGTCGACTACGTGAGAGTCCAGCGATATAGCCATTACACTAACTGCTGGTTCCCCAGAATAAAATTTTTTTGAAGACAGTGTAAATGTATAACATGGGCTAGCTTGCCCAGGGAGCACTGGTAAACCATTTGGAAGCACTTTTCGACAGACACAGTGTTAAAGTGGGAGGTCAACTTCTAGACCAGGTGATGAGTCTATTTCTGTTTTTTTTTTCCTTTTGGAGAGGATTTTTTTGCTATAGAGCATGTGCGCTTGCCAGAAAGAGAGAGACAGAGAGACAAAGAGCAAGAAATCACCCCCTGGGAGGATGGCCAAGCTGCGATCCCTTCCCCTCCATTCTCCTCTCAGGATCTTGGGCACGCACACACAAGTACCCGGTATGAGTTTAAGACACAAGGTCTAGTGCTCGAATGACAGTCGACTACACAAGAGTCCAGTGACATAGCCATTACCCCAACTGCTGGTCCCTAATTCTTTCTTTTTTTAAATAATTATTTTATTTGAATTTATTTATTTATTTATTTTAATTTTTTTTGAGTTTTTTTGCTATAGGGCGTGTGCGCTCGCCAGACAGACAGAGAGAGACATAGAGACAGAAAGCGAGAAATCACCCCCCAGGG